TCAGACTTTTCGGGGTGGGGGGGGGGCAGTGCCAGTTGATTTATATTTGGATATATTTTTGCTCCGGGGGGGGGCACCTTGCTTTCCCCTGGGGGCAGTGCCTTCCCGGAGATGTAGCTGAAAGAAACCCTGAGAGCAGAGTGCCACCAGAGCAGGGTGCCACAAGAGCAGGGTGCCACCAGAGTAGGGTGCCACCAGAGCAGGGTGCCACCAGAGTAGGGTGCCACCAGAGCAGAGTGCCACCAGAGCAGGATGCCACCAGAGCAGAGTGCCACCAGAGCAGAGTGCCACCAGAGTAGGGTTCACCAGACAGATCAGGTAGCCATCAGAATAGATTACAAACAAAACCGGGTGCAATCTGAGCAGGATTCCACAAGAGCAGGGTTTCATTAGAACAAACAGACTAGGTGGAGGTTCGTGTGGAAGTCTGGATTGGGATGAAGAGAATGGCAAGGACCCAGTCAAGAGACGCCGGACTCACTTTGCAAGAAGAAAACAAGTGGGCATGTGGCTCGTTTTTTTTTATATTGATCTCTAGGTCAGATCAAGATCCATTACAGAAGTAGCAGATATCTTTGAGGTTGTTGTAGCTAAGAATCTACTGTTGATGACTAAAGAAGAGTTACTTGTGGAGATTGGGGGGGGGGGGGAAAAAAAGAAAAACAAAAAAAAANGATATTCATATCGACGAAGCCAAAGGTTGGTCAATATTAGCGGTTTTGAAATTCATAGCCGAATAATATACTAGTCTATCTGATAAAAAAAAAAAATGCGTTCGAAAAGAAATTTAACCCAAATTTTTAACGTATGCACTAGAAAAAAAAAAAAAAAGGATTCGAACAAATTTCCGTTCGAAAAAATTTCCGTCGGTCAATTTTCCATCGACGAAATTTTTCTTTCAAACAAATTTTCCGGACAGGTCTCACGGGGTATTAATATCTTTATAAACTTTATAAACAGATTCGCTTACAGGATAGCGAACGCACAAGAATGCTGCCTCCCAATTCGTGTACTGACGTTAACGATTATATCCACAAATCAGTTGCTAAAAATAAATGAAACGGCTAAGTTAGAACAGGAACATCAACAACAAACAAAAAAAAGTGGGGGAGGGGAAAACATATTTTCATTTCGTGTTGTCTTTTAATTTGAAGCAACGCCTTCGTTAATGTCAGGAATTCATCATCGGCGTGTACCTGTGGTCAACAAAGAGGGGGTGGGGGCAGGTACTGTTGTCTGTTTCCGTGGACACGGTGTCATCACTGGCCTTTTCCGTGAGCACAGGTTCGCCCATTAATGTTCGTCCTTTATTCGCGAGACGCTCTCTGTTTGTAGTGGACACACGCTGGCCCTCCCGGTCCGTCATAGCAGGGCCACAATGAGATCTTGTGTTTTTTAGTTTCGAGCGCTACAAATGTTGCCAAATATTTTTTTTTTTAAAGAGGAGAGCGGGGGTGGGAGGGCATAATTGAACACTTTTATTTGAATTTCAGAGATTTTATTTTTGGTTTGATGTTCTTAGTAGTGGGACCGCCTCTAACATCAGAGCTGAGAACACGTACAAACTAAAGCCAAAAAAACAAAACAATAACAAATAACAACAATAACAGCAACTCACATACAGACACAAAGGCACATTTACACACGCAAACAACAGACATTATCTTTATATACATATATTTATCTTGCACACACGTCCACGTACAACATGTACACTACCTCCTCCGTGACTATATCTTTCTCATTTCC